CCGGACCTGGGCTAGGACTGGGTCTGGGGGCTCCCGGAACTCGGCAGAAAATCCTACTCGGCGGGCGGGGTGGGGGAGGCACTGCGGAGTCTGGAAATAAGTTTTAAAAAAAATAAGTTTACAAATAATCTCTCAGTTTCCTTTAGTAATTATCTATCATACTTCAAACCTCTGGGAGCTACATCACAAAGTAAACAGTTGGTCACAGAGAGATTCAAGTGGAAAACAATAAATCATTCAAATTCATCACCAATACTGGAGAGAAATGTGGAGTTCCAAAGTGTGAACCCTATCTTGACCTATGTCACATTATTTTCATACTTTAGTAGAAGTCTAACTTCTTAATGAAATCTCAGTGGGTATACAAGAGCTTCATAACTACAGGTAAGGGCCCCCTGAGATAGCTCAACAGAATAAGTGCCTGCTTAGGCGAGCTCAGGGACCAGGGTTTGATCCCTGGTACTGCATGCCAGGCAGGCCCCGCCTCCCCAGGCCTGCTGAGCCTATGATCCAGTCTGGGTGTGGTGGAGCATGCCTACAATCCCAGCACTTGGGAGGCTGAGAAAAGGAGGTTGACTATGAGCCCAAGTCTCACTATGTGAGACCCTGTACCAAGGACATAAAATTAAAAAAAAACAAAACTATAGGTAGCGAGCCATCGGGCACAGGTTTCTCTCAAGCCTTCAGGACTGGTAATCACATACACTAAGTTTAATTATGCCAATAGGTTCTAATTCTCGTGATTAAGAACTGACCTAACTACATCAGATTAAGCCCTAATTCAATGAACTAGAAAGCAGTCTAATGCACAAAGCAGCATCTCTGTTATTGAATGAAAACTTGAGAGGAGATGATAAAGTGTGCACCCAAGCTAAACTTTAAAAAGATGATCAGGGCCGGCCAAATAGCTCAGCAGATTAAAGCACCTGCAGGCAGGCTCGGGGTCGGGTGTTTGATCCCAGGGCCTGCCGTGCCTGCTCCACCCCTGGGGTGTGCTAAGATGGCAATTGGGACTGGGTGTGGTGGCACATGCCTGTAATCCCAGCTCTTGGGAGGCTGTAAATAGGCGGATCACTACAAATCCGATCTAGTAATGATTCCCTGAACACCTTGTAGACCCTCCCCTAAAATATAAATAAATAAATAAATAAATAAACAAATAAAAAGATAATCAGTCTTGGGTGTTGTGTTTCATTTGGTCCTGTTTGTCCATCTAAACTTGCAGGAGGTGTATTTAGAAGCTATTTGTAATCCCACATATGGGAAACAAAACAATTCTTAGGCCTCAAGATGGAAACGTAGTTTGTTTCTAAGCAGTGACAGTGAACACAATAAAGAGGTTAGCTTACTGAAAGGCAAGTTTAAGAGGACATAAGAAGGTGCTAACTCTGGAATCCTGGTGGCATTTGACGGGAAAGACTACAGTGGTCCTGCCCTTCTCCGCAGAGCCTACCTTCTACTTCGGGGATGTGCAGTACTCTGTGGATGAGAGCGCTGGCTACGTGGAGGTGCGGGTGTGGAGAGTGGGCACCGATCTCTCCAGGCCTTCCAGCGTCACAGTGAGATCTCGGAAAACGGACCCACCCTCTGCAGATGGTGAGCATGTCTGACCTCAGCCCTTGTGCCTGTTCCGCAGCTACTAGCCTGACACCAGACACTCTACGGCCAAAATCATTAGGGTGGGAAAGCGAACTTACACTCAACCCTTGTGAAGCGTGCTGGATGAATTTTTTTCTCTGAAATTATTACTATGTGATAGGTGCATCTAAGATTTCTTTAGTGTAGTGGGAAAAGACATTGAAGGGCTATGAGTTAGAGGCTAAGTTATACAGTAAATTTTATCTTATTTATAGGCTCTAAATGCTAATTCTATGTTTGCATGAATTAGTTCTCTACTCAAGAAATCTACATGGTTGAGCAACATGACTTTTTGCAAAACATCCATGATGACTGCCTCACAGGAATCGAATGTTATTTAAGTATTTTGCAAATATACATCATTACTTGCCACCTTCTCCCTCTTCTTACCATCTCTGTAAATGCTCCGCATCTGTAAAGCTTTTCCCGCATTTCATAGGTAGATAGATCTTATGTATCTACATATATATAGATATCTTATTATAATATATATGATCTTTACATAATATATATCTTATATCTATACATCAATCCCATATATATGATCTTTACACCTTCTACATAAGACTATATAGCATATATATGATTTATAAGACTGACATGTATGTGATATAAAATGACTATTTGGAGTTACAATCAAGGCACACTGTGAGGACTTGCCACCCATCACTCAGGCTGGTGGTTCACACTTGGACTTGTGATGCCGGAATGTGAGCAGCACAGCCTAATGGTGGCTTCTTCTACACTGAAGTGCTGCTGTAATTTTTGCTGATTGCATTGTACAGGACTATAATTTTATGTTCTGTTATACATTACAGTACTGTATGGAAGAGTCATGCGAGTAAAACCAAGTCATCAAGTTGGAGTTTCCTTTGATCACTTCTTTGTTCTGAATATCGTAGTGTCCATAATATATGTAGTTCCTCAGCCAGTGATAAATTCATCTAATGGCTTACTCACAGGAACAGAACTGGGTTATTCAAGAAAAAATGTCTGTGTATGTATATAATTTATTTCTACTATTTTTTAAAATTTATTTCACACTAAACAGTTATGTTGCTACTATCATAGCTGGAACAGACTACGTGGGAATCAGTCGTAGCTTAGATTTTGCCCCTGGAGTCAACATGCAGACTGTCCGTGTCACCATTCTGGATGACCTCGGACAGCCAGTGCTGGAAGGAATCGAGAAATTTGAGCTGGTGCTCCGGATGCCTGTGAATGCTGCCCTCGGAGAGCCCAGCAAGGCCACAGTGTCCATAAATGACTCTGTCTCTGATTGTGAGTATTTATGAACTATACTTGTTAAGTAAGATGGTAAGCTAGAGTTTACGTAAACAAGAAGAAGAAATGGTATTATATACAGAAATGGGACACCTATATTCATTTGCTAGTGTTGCCATTAAGACTTGATGGCTTAAACTGCAAGAATTTATTGTCTTACAGCTTTTGGCTAGAAGCCAAAATGAAAGTGCTTGCCTGATTGGTTCTTTCTAAGGATGGCCAGGGAATGATGCTCCAGGCTTTTCTCAGTGGCCAGCAAATGGTCATCTTGTCCCTATCTCTTTCTTCATATCTTTTTCCATCTATATATGTCTCTGCGTCCAGTTTTCCCTTCTACATGAGAACACCAGCCATATTGGACCAGCTTAACCATTTGCTTAGGAACACCTAGTGTTTATCTTTCTTTATGGCACCCCAGAATTGCATTGTGCATAAATGTGTGTGCCACATTTATCCATTCACCTCTTTGTGGGCATATATTCTGTTTCCAGTATGTAGCTAATATCAACTGTGCAGTTATAAATATGAGTATGCACATACCTTTGCAATATACCTTGAACTCTTTTGAGAAGATTCCAATAGGTGGGACCACTTGTCAAATGGAATTTCTACTTTTTAGTTTTTTGAGGAATCTCCACGCTGGTTTCCATAGTGGTTACACCAGTTTATGTTCCCACCAACAATGTACTGTAATTTCTTTTTCAACATAACCTTGCCAACATTTGTTATTACTAGAATTTTTTTATGGCACCCCACTCTTTTTGGAGTAAGATGCCATCTCAGTGTAGTTCTAATTTGCACTTATGTAATGGCCAATGATGTTGAACATTTTTTCATGTCTTCGTTGGCCATTTTTCTTCTGAGAAGTGTCTACTCATTTCAGTTAACATATTTTGATCAAGTCTTTTGTTTTGAGGGGTTCCTTAAATATTCTATGTATTAGGCCTCTTTCTGAATAGTTGGTAATTTTTTCCATTCTGTAAGTTTTTCTTCACTCTGTTACTTGTTTCTGCTGCTGTGCAAAAGCCATTGAATTTGGTATGATCACATGTGCTGATTCTCAGTATTATTTGTTTTGACCTTGAGTTTCTATTCAGAAAGTCCTTTCCTATACCTATGTCTTCAGGAGTTCTCCTATTTTATCTTCTAGCAGAATAACTGTTCCTGTTTTTACATCTAGATCTTTGATTCATTTTGAGTTCAGTTTACTACGTGGTAAGGTATATGAATCTAGTCTCAGTTTTCTGCATGTGGCTATCTTTTTTTCCCCCAGAACCATTTAATAAAGAGTCTATCTTTCCTCTTTGTTGTTGGCCTCTGTGTCAAAGACTAGATCTGATGTGTGCCTGGGATGCCCTCTTCTGCTCTGTTCAGCATTTCTTTTCTGCCAGTATGGTTATGTTTTAGACACCATATCTGTATAGCATAACATCAGACCCAGCATTTTAATGTCACCAGCTTTGCTTTTGCTATCTTGGGTCTCTTCTCAATCCATGCACATTTTAGGTTGCTTTGCCCAGATCTGTGAGAAATTCTGCAATTTGATTTGGATTACATTAAATCTGGATATCAGTTTGGGGAGTACAGCCATTTGTATTATATTGGTAGCACCTATCCAGGAGTAGGAGCTACCTTTCCATCTCCTGATATCCTGCTCAATATCCTTCTTAAGCTTGATGTAATTTTCAGGGTAGAGGTCTTTCAGTTTCTGTTAGGTTGATACCTACGGGGTTTTTCTCATGCTATTTTGAATGGTATTGTTTTTCTACTTTCTTCTTTAATGAATCATGATTAGCCTTTAAGAATGCTATTCATTTTTGTGTGTTTATGTTGTATCCTGCCTAGCTGGTGAGTTTGGCTGTTAACATTAGATGTCTTTTGGTGGAGCTCTTTGGGGCTTGTGGGGTAAGAACACACCATCTGCAAGTTACCCTTGGACCTCATCCTGTCTTACACATACTCTTTTTAGGTCTTTCTCTTGCCTAAGTGCTCTTGCTAATTGATAACTGTGTTGGATAGAAGCCGTGATGGTGGTCCTTTTTGCGTTGCTTTTGATTTGACAGGGAAGATTTTCACTATTTTATCATTTAATATGGTATTGTCGGTGGGTTGGTCACAATGGCCTTCGTCAGATCTAGATAAGGTCCTTTTAGCGCTATTTTCTTCAGGGTTTTTATCATAAGGGAATCCTCAGTACTCTTACATGATAGTTCTGACATTACTATAGGAATGTAGCCTGTATTAATGAGAAATACATTTAACTGATCCAGCTTAAATGTTGCCTCATAATTATACACAGTCAGTTTTCCTAATATGATTCACAGTTTTAAACTATGGCTATAATTGCATGCATAGTATTTAGTATTCTTCATATCAAGAAATTCTGAAAATTTCAGGACTAAGCAACTCATGTAAACAAACCTTAAGATTTTTTGTTTCAGTACCTTTTTAGCATTTTTCTGACAAATGACTGAGTTCAGACTGAGGTGCAATTCTTTCTTCCTTTCCCGTTTTCTTCACCAAACATATCTTCTGAAATGCCAATGAAGCTTAAGAAAGCCTCTATTCACTTCGACCCATGAGTTTGTTTGGCTTTGCAGTGCCTAAGATGCAGTTCAAAGAACGCGTATACACTGGCAGCGAAGGCGAGGGGCGGATAGCAGCCGTGATCCACCGGAGTGGAGACACCCAGCACGAGTCCTCCGTGAGGTGCTACACACGGCAGGGGTCCGCGCAGGTGATGGTGGACTTTGAAGAGCGTCCCAATACTGACATCTCAGTCATCACGTTCCTTCCCAGTAAGTCTGAGCTTGAAATTTGTTTACAGAATTTGAGGAAGCCAGGTGTTTTCTTAAAAATATGTCTGAGGGAAATAAAAGTACCTTTATTTCGACAAATTTATAGGATAGTTCTATGTACACAAATAATGTGCAATAGCTTGCAAAAGTCTGAATGAATGCCATGTTGGTTTCTGTATTAACTTACTGATTCCCAGCAATGGGCTTTATTGTTTCTTACTCGGTGGACAAAAGCATATTGAGTATACAGATTTCACAATGTTGGAAATTAAACTCAATGTTGAAATGTAATGAAATAAAATATATCCCAATTTTTTAATATGTGACTAGTACCTTAAACTATTCAATCTCTTTAATTCAATCATTATGCTTATAGGAACATATCTTTTTAAACATATTTAAATATTTTTATTGGTACATGCCGGTAGTAAAGCATGATTGCTTTCCACGTGGAGCCAGGTATCCATCTTTGCATACCTGGTATGTGCTTTCCACAGTACATCTCCTCTCCTTTTCTTAACCCCTCCCCACCTCTCCCTGCAGTCCTTTCTTCACCCACCCCACGGCCTTCTCCACTGATCCACAAGTCTGGCTTTTTTTAGTACCATCTTGCTTTTTAATCACTGGAGCTGTGTAGTATAGCTTCAAGTCCAGGATTTTGATGCCTCTTGTCTTTTCTTGTTGCCCAGAATTATTGTTACTATTTTAAGTCTTTTCTGTCTCTATATAAATTTTAAGGTTCTTTTTGCTAGTTCTATATGTTGGTATTTTGATTGGGACTGTGACAGTTATCTGTGTTACAGTTTTGGAAGTATGACCATTTTTCTGACACTCTGCAAACAAGCGATAATTTCTACTTTCTGATGTCCTCTCCAATGTCCTTTTTCAAAGTATTGTGTTTATCATCACAGAGGACTTTCATTTCCTTTATTAGATTGACGCCTACTATTTCATTTTACTTGATGCTATTGTAAAAAGTATTGTTTTCCTAATTTCTTTCTCAGTAAGTATATTATTGGTGTACAGAGGTGCTGTTCATTTTGCAGTGTTGGTTTTGTGTCCTCTTATGCTACTGAATGTGGTTATTAATTCTAGGAATCTTTTGATGGAGCTTCTGGCATCTTCTATGTAGAAGATCATATTATCTTCAAATAACAATTTAACTTCGTCCTTTCTAAAAATATCACTTTTATTTTTCACTTGCCTGATTAGTCTGACTAAGGTTTCTAGAACTATATTGAAAAAGAATGGAAACAACCAACATCCTCTTCTTGTTCCTGACTTTAGAGGGAATGGCTGTGGCTTTGTCATGGAGGGGTTTTATCAAGTGACAATAAGGACCTCAAATGCCTATTCTTCAGGGTTTTAACATGAATAGATGTTACAAAATAGATGTTTTTCTCAAAGGCTGTTTCTTTGTCTGTTGAGAAGATTGGGTGATCATTTTTCCTTGCTTCTGTGTATATGGTTATTACATTTATAGATTTGTTTATGCTGATCCATCTTTCCATACCTGGTATGAAGCCTACATGGCCATGGGGTATGATATTTTTGATGATCTTTTTACATTATGTTTGCCAATATTTTGTTGAGGATTTTTGCATTTATGTTCACTAAAGACATTGCCCTTTAATTCTCATTCTCTCTTGTCTCTCTCTCTCTCTCTCTCTCTCTCTCTATCTCTATCTCTATCTCTATCTCTCTCTATCTCCCTCTCCTTTTCTGGTCTTAGAACCAAGCTAGTGCTTCCTTCCAGAAATGACTTTGAAAACATTGCTTCTCTTTCATTCATCCTTCCGTGTGTATTTTTTCTTTTTGAGACGATGGCATTTGTTCCCTCCACTGTATCCTTTTAGAATATCCTTGGGAATTTTTCATAATGATTGCTTGGTGGTTATGAGTTTCTTGAGGCATTCCTTGTCATGAAAATACCTTACTTCTCCATCAGCTTGAAAGAAAGTTTTTCAAGGCATATAAGTCAAGTTTGAAGGCTGTTATGTTACAGGGCTTGAGACACTTCACTCCACGCCTTCCTAGTCAAGGTTTGTGTTGAGCAGTGTGCTTCAATTCTCATGGGCTTGCCTTTAGTTTTGTCTTGTCACTTTCCTCTACCAGCTTTTAATATTTTGTCCCTGTGATGGATTTCTTTCACATTGAAAATTACACAGCATAGAGTAGTTCTCTTTTGGTTGTGATGATTTGGGCTTCTACATGTGTCACCACTTACCTGCATGTTTATTTCTTACATTATATTCAGAGAATTTTCCACTCTTATTTTAGAAACTGGTTTTTTTATTTCATTTGTCTGTCTTCTGATTTTCAGTTATTCCTGTTGTCTTATATTAGTCTTCTTAGCACCATCTAGGAGATTCTGGATTCAATTGTTCATGTTCTCTTGTGGACTTTAAGGTATCTTTGAGTAATTGGTTTTGAAAACATCATTATCTTTTAGCTCTAGAATTCTGTCTTCACATTGGTCATTTCTGCTGCCCATATTTTCAACATAATTTTTAATCTGGATTTCTGACTGAACTTCTCATGGGCTCCAATTATTTGCTATACTGGTAATTTATGTTTTGTATCATTTTGTTTACCTTATCTAATTCTTTATTAGTGTCTTCTGAAAGGTCCTGAACCATTTTTGCAATTATTTCCATTACCTATTTAGATATATATTCTGTCATCTCACTAAGTACCTCTTTGATCTGTTTCCTAACATCCTACATTATCCTTTAGAATAGTTTGACTATGTGGCTTATACTATTAATCCCCTCAATCTCCTCTAATTGGCTTTGGGGGAATTTGGAGATTTGCCTTGTCTCTTATACTTCAAGAATTATGTGACCGATATCAACCAAGTCAGCTACAGTAGTATCATTCAGGGCAATGTAGGTATTATCCATGACAACCAATTATATAACCCTCTTTGTCCTTGAGAAGACATCCAAAATTATAGTATAAACATTAAGACAACCCTAATATTGACCCTCAACTAGTATGCACCAAATTCAAGGCTGTGTCTTCTCTAATGGTAGAAAAGTATTCAACAGTAGTTCCATAGAGTCAATTATCTAAAGACCAATAAAGCTTCTTGTATATAGTATTAAAGATATGCTGGACTTGGAGTAGGAGAATACAAGAAGCAAAATGTGAACCTTAAAATATTAAGATATGAGAAGAAGGAGAAAGAATTAAGTAAAATATTCTAATGGGGGTAGAGAGATATTTATCTAACTAAATAGGGATAACAGAAGAAAGTGAGAACTAGATGATGAAGAAAAGAGAATATCATGAATAAAAGTGTGAGAGAAAAAAATTAAAGGGAGACAAAAAGAAGAGGACAGATAAAAATGAAGTCAGCAAAATAACAAGCAAACAAAAAAAGAACAAGGAAAAAAACAAAGAATATAGATGAGAGGGAATTCACCTACCCTCTTTAAATTAGTAGAAAGAAAGAAAGGCTCATAAAAGGAAAGGGAAAGAAAGACAGAAGGAAGGAAGGAAGATGCAAAAGAAGAAATTTCACTGTTATTTTGGATGCATGACTTTCTAACAGAAGCTAGTTTGGAGTCAATATCCAAATCAAGACATATCCCTGCTCATGCTGGTAGATAGAGAATGCTGTCCGATACCAGATCTATGTGGATGCAGGCACCAGCAGGTAGTAGAACAAGGATGCCAGTACCATGGCTTTAAATCTCATGCAACTCAGAATGAGTATGGCCTGAGAGCTGTGTCTATAACTTTTACCTCAAACCCCTGATGGGTCTTTTTCCAGCCTGCTATCTGACAGTGAGCTATCACCAGTGGATGCCCTTCACCCAGTTACTTTGGAAACATTACACTGGGAGTCATGAGTAGAGCCAAGTGGCTACCCTGGGAACCAGGGTCAAACAATGAATCCTTCCTTGGAATGGCTTCCCCTCAAGCACTCTGTCCAGGACAATGGCGGACACTTGTACTAAGGTCACTCACCAACTGTCACCTGTAGAAGGGCACACTGATTGCAGAGTCCTATGCTCTCCTTGTAAGTCTCAGCTACCACCGACCTCGTCCATTGCTCTGCGGCATCGCACCATGAGAAGTTTCTTTCAGAGCAAATGCAGAGGATACCTTCTGTTTTCCATGTTGTGATATATATAGCTATCCCCCCAGCCCAATATATACTTTTTGATAGCTTTATTTTTGTAAGATCCTGCATGGCTCCCAAGGAACAAAGTAGAATCTCTTTGCTTCTTCTCTAAGTTACTGTTTTCTAGAGCCTGGATACCAAAACTCAGTGAGTTTGAATTGTCACTCACCACTCTATGATCTTTTTTCCCTTGGAATATACTCTTGAAAATGTAAGTATACAGAAAGATTTCCCTATGTGGATATATGTCACAAAGTTATTTATAGTAATAGAATATGGAAAACAAATGGCCAACAATTATAATTATTTATTTGATCATCTACCTCATGGCATAACTTATGATCATAAAAAGTTTTTAAAGCTGGGGTGATAAACTCAGTAGCACAGTGCCTACCTGGCAAGTGCAAGGTCATGAGTTAGATTCTCAATACCAAAAAAAAAAAAAAAAAAAAAAACCTTTAAAACTCATTGAGAAAAGAGAAACTTCAAGTTTCTGTTAGAAAGTCCTCCATGTTGGGGGCAGGGATATAATTGTTCTTGGCTCAGTGATTTGTTCAATAAACCAACAGTTAATATTGCTAGTCAAGTTAAAATCATACAGTCAAATTAACAGTGACCAACCAACTAGATTTGCTTTCTGATCACAATACTAGGAATTCATAAAGAAAATTGGTCATTTTCTCATTCCTTTACTGTCTATGCATGACAGAACTTCAAAATAGAAATTACAGAAGTGCCCAATACAAACAAGAGCCTATTCTTGCATTAAATAAATTAAACATTTATTTAATTATTCAGTAAATCTTTGTCAGGCACTTACCACAGAGGTCTTTGCACTGATGCAGCAAGAGAAAAGCAACGTCCCTGCTCTTGTGATTGCCTTGGTCCTGCTTGTGGCTGTGGCCTTCGGGGCCTGCGGATATGACTGACCTGCTGGTGTTCCATTTGCTCCAGGTGAGACTGAAAAGCCCTGCATCCTGGAGCTGATGGATGACACACTGTACGAGGAGGTGGAGGAGCTCCGCCTGGTGCTTGGCTCACCACAAAGCACTGCCACCTTTGGGGCTGCCATTGGTGAAAACAATGAGACTCTGATAAGGATCCACGATAATGCTGACAGTAAGAGGCCGTTGCTCATGCTAGGCTGGGAACTGGGCCTGCCATCTGTCCTTGTTAAGGTTTTAGGTGACTCAGAAAATAACAGCCTCTTTCTGATTAGGTCTTGAGAGCAGTTGAGAAGGAAACCACTAAGACATGTGGGGAAGAAATCAAACTATTAAAACTCAGGGCCAGGGAGCTAGCTCAGTAGAATAAGCACCTGCCTGGCAAGCACAGAGCCCTAAATTCAATCCCTAGTACCAGAAAAAGAAAAAAAAAAAAAAAAAAAAAAAAAAACTATTAAAACTCATAAAGTTGGGAGCTGGAGGCTTGCCAGATGTCTCAGCAGATTAAAGCGCCTGCTTAGGTAGAGCACAGCGGCTGGGCCCCCAGCCTGTCATGCAAGCCCTGCCCCAAGGGCCTGCTGAGACAGCATTTGAGACTGGGCATGGTGGCACGCGCTTGTAATCCCAGTGCTGGGAGGCTAAAAACAGGAGAATCACTATGAGTCCTATCTACCTAGTGAGACCCTGTAGACCCTGTAGACTCTGTCCTAAATACATTTGAAGGAAGGAAGGGAGGAAGGGAGGAAGAGAGAAAGGGAGGAAGGGAGGAAGGAAGTTGGGAATGTAGCCCAGTGGTAGAGTGCCCACCTAGCATGAGTAATGCCATGCACACAATGTTTGTTTTTTTTTAAATCTGGGCAACATATGTCGATTTCTCCTTCCTCATTCACTGCTAACACTGAGGTGACAGAGAAGCCAGGAGGGTATCCTCCTATGTGAAATGAAGCATTAGAAATGGGGTGGGGAAAGCTGTTTGCCTTATTAAGGTTTAATTTGTCTGTGTTTTCCACAATTTCAGAGACTGTGATTAAATTTGGAGAAACCAAATTTAGCGTCACAGAGCCCAAAAAGCCAGGAGAGTTGGTGGTTGTAAAAATTCCAGTGATCCGCCAAGGAGACACGTCTCAAGTTTCCATCGTGAGGGTCCACACAAAAGATGGCTCAGCTACCTCTGGGGAGGACTATTACCCGGTGTCAGAAGGTAGGGCGTCCCAGGGCTGTCACCAGATGGACCACACCAACACTGTGTACCAGTGCTATGCCTTTAAGAAAAAGAGAAACATCCAACTGAAATAGCAATAGACATGCTTTCTAAACCCTTCTCCTTTAGAAAGGTAAAGGTATTTTATATCTAGGATCTTCCTTTTCGACTCATAGGGCTTCCTTTACAACTCATATATTAGGGCTTAAGGAAATTTTGAGTAGATATGCTAGAAGACATTCTGTATTGAGTGTGCTTTAATCTTTTGGCTAGTTCATTGTCATCTCTTGATTGGACATTACATAAAAATTATCCTATAGGTTTGTTTTATACTGCAAATGTGCCTGGTAGCTATGAAAATAACTTATTTCTATTTCAACAGCATTTGCATTATAAATCTTTGGTTTGTTTGCTTGCTTGTTTGCTTGCTTTAAGCTGGAAAAGCTTTTGTTTTGTGGACAGGAGGAGGTAGGAAGTCACATAACTCTTGGACCTTTAACATTTCTTCTTAGGAGTGACAAAGAATGCTGTCAGACTCAGAAAAAACAGTTGACATACATAATTCTATTTAAAATTTATAAATGAGGTCTATCTCAGAGTTAATATTTTACCTCTCAACCTCAAATACTGGGAAGTCCCAGATGAATTTTTGTATTAGTACATGTTGGTAGAATATGACCACACTTATCATGAGGAGCTGGGGTAAGTATGTAAACTCATCTTAATTCTTTTCATTTCCCCCTCCCTTCCTCTCCTTCTCCCCTCCCTCCTAAAGCTATGAAATTTTGTGCCAACTAAGGACAGTAAAGGCATGGTAAAGCCAACTGTGGGGGTGCACACCTGTCATCCACACCCTCTGGGAGGATGAGGCAAGAGGATTGCCTGGGCACCTTAGAAACCCTATCTCAAAGTAAAAAGAAAATGAAAAATGGAAATGTCTTAGTTACTCTTCTTTCATTGCTGAGACAAATACCCGACACTCAAAATGAAGGAAGGAAAGATTTATTTAGCTCACAGTTACTGGAGGTTTCAGTCCATACTCAGCTGGGTCCAATGTACAGCAGCACATAGCAGAAAGCAACCTTTCATGGCGGTGGCAAAGAGCAAGAGCGCAAGGGAGGGGTGGCAGCAGCTCAAGCAGCCAGCTTCTCTTCCCACCTTACATTGTAATGCAAATTACCTGCCCCAGGGTAGGGGAAGTACTCACCCACCTATGGGTAATCCCAGCAGTACTAAGACCCATAATCCCAGCCTTGGATCACACATAATCCCAGTGGATCATGAGTTAACACAAACTCTAGAAATCCTCACCCCATGACTGCATGAGGCTTTGGGGGGACAACTAGACACAAATCATAACAGGAAAGGACTGGTAATGTGTCTCACTGGGATTCTCAACTGCAAGGCCATGAGTGCTCTAGGATGTATGTAGGAGCCTCTTAAGGATAGTTTTCATCTCTCTTCTGCATATTTTAGGATCATATTATTGTCTATTTTTATTAGTAATTAACACAAATATATTCTGTTCTCTCTCTCTTCCCCTTTTTTAGCTCTGAATTATTTGCTGAACAATAAACACAAATAGCAAAAATTACACTTATGGTACATCTATTTATTATTAGTTCTTGACAATCATAGTATTGCATAGTAACTTCTTTTTTTCCAGTATTGGGGATTGAATTCAGGACTTCACGCTTGCCAGGCATGCACTTATGCCGCTGAGCTGCCTCCCCATCCCTGTAACATTCATCTGGATGTTCTAACCCACCAATACATTTAAAAGTGACTGGTGGATGTTACTGAATCAGTAATGAACTTAGGTAATAGAAGGTGCTGAAACATCTTCTACAAAGAAAAGTTTATTTTACCTACATGTAAGGTAAAAATTTGATACACTACAGCTTCAAACTTGCTCTTGAATTAGTCTAAGGTAATAAGTCACATGTAACCCAACAGAAGAAAAAGCAAAAGGGATTAGCTAATAAACAGTAAAGCCAAAAATCAGTCTTTTCTAAAGTGAACAGAGATTACCGGAAGGAAAAACCTTCTAAATATGGGAAATATAACCTTTGGTAAAAATTACTTTTCTTAGAAATAAAATGATTAGTTTTACTAAAATGTAAGCAAAATATTTCTATATAGTGACAAATGACAAAGGAAGTCTGATAAAAGTGAAATAATGCTCCCGGGCATGGTGACACTTGCCCATAATCCAAGGTGTTAGAGGACCTGACATGGAATTGCAAGTTTGAAGTCATCCTGAACAATTATTTATTTATTTATTTATTTGGTACAGGGTCTCAGTATACAGCCCAGACTCGTAGTACTCCTCCTGTGTCAGCCTCCCCAGTACTGGGATTACAGGCATATGCCACCACACCTGGTTTCGGTGGCCAGCTCAATGTGCGGCCGGTTTGGCATGTGGTACTGGGGATCAAACCTGGATCCTTGAGCTTGCCAGATAGGTGTTTAGGCCACTGAGCTATCTCCCCAGTCCCAAGCCTGAACAATTTAGAGAGCCGATCTCACAATAAAAAAAAAAGACTGAAGGTGTAGTGACCCTCCGTTCAATTCCCAGTACCTCAGCTAAAGAAAAGTTGAGTAATACTAAATCACTGTGTCTTTTATTTCATTGGTGTCAACATTATGTTTATAATAAAGCCCTATGAAATTTTATTTTGGTAAAACATGCCATAGTTTTCCCTTTTTTAGCCTAAATTGAGGTCATTCCTCTGCATATAAAAAATAAAAATTAAATATAAAAGTTGAAAAACATCGTGGTACAAAGTAAAGTGACAAAACAGATGTGATTTTAAAATTTGACTATCATCTACCAAGTATACAATCAGAAAGAAATCATTTAGATGCTGAAATTATTTTTGACTTCTTAGACAGTTGGTTTGTATGACTCAGGCTTATTAAATCTTGAATGCATACAAAGTTAATAAGTAATGAAAATGAGCGAAGAGAGTAAAATGTAAAGGAAAACTGGAGGACTGGAACGTTACTGAAATAGAAAGTTCTCCTGTGTTGAGGAAAGCCGGGGCTGCCATCACCACCTCCTGTCACGCAGCAAGGCCCAAGAGAACACATGCATCTTGTTCTTCTATGAAATCCCTATATTTTTAAGTGACGGAAACTAATTTGTAAATTTCCTATCACATGAAATGAACCAAATGATCTGTAACGTCACATCATATATCTCAAATAACATAACGAAAATGTAAATTTATAAAGCACAATTATGCAGCATAATTTTAAATTATGAAATAATTAAAATAATTGTCAATACAACTATAAAATGTAATTTTGACAAATAAAATTAAAAGCAAGTTTGTAGGTGAGAAACAAGTAGTGTCCCTTCTTCTGGCTCAAGAATCACAGGTCCTCTCCTGGCTGGAGAAGCCTGGAACTGACAAAGAAGGTGCTGTGGCTCTGGGGAAAAAGTGCCTTACCCAGGTAGAGCTGATTTTAAAGATGTCTGCCTTGCTAGTTCAATTTTTAAAAAATGAAATTGATAATTTGAAAGTTGAAATTTAAAAACATACACTAGGAATTTTTTTCCCCTCTAGACTCAAAAGAATTTATAGTTCATTGAACCACAGTTACATCCAAAAGCAACAATTATTGTTGCCTCTATTTGGAATGACTGATTTATATTTTTTGTATTTTTTTTTTCTGATTCTGATTCCCAAAAGAAACAGTAAAATTAAAATAGCTTATTCAGGTTTGTGGTGTAGGCAGCTGCTTATTCATGATTTCAATAGAATCCAATTATTTTTAGCATCTGGAAGTTTTTCAAAATGATGTTTAAGAAAAAATGCTAATAAACGGATATAATTTTATGACAATGAAGCAGTTCTTTTAGCAAAAGAAACAGGGTGAGGGGAGAAATGACTAATATTTGTAGTTACTAACTTTTCTAAGTTTCCAAGAACATAAATGTTTTGAAATGTAGCTTGATATTGCACCTAAGAACAACTTGATACCCAGCTTTCCTACAGACATACATAAATACCACTCACAATTATATTTCCAGTCCCATTCACATGACATGGACCCCACTGGTTAGAAATTCTGGGGAGCGAGGGCTGAGTTTGATTGTCCTCAATGTGAGAAGTATCTGTTGTTCTCTACCCCAGTAGTTTTTCAGACTGAGGCAAAACGTCAGTTTAGCAACTTATGATTAGAACTTTGCTTTAGGTAGCATAAAAATCTAAAGAGGGCAGGAAAAGTGCCAGCACAGCACAGGTAGTAAGGGCTAGCGATGCTCATCAACCCTCTGCTTCTCTTTCACACACACAGGCATGTACACGCAAATACACTGGGCCACAACGTAAAATGTATTTTTCATTGTAGCCCACAATTTCCAAAACTTGTCTACAATTTTAATATTCATATGCAAAAGATTTAAATTCATGATCTTTACATTTACAGAAATTGAGTTTAAGGAAGGAGAAACCCAGCACACTGTTGAAATTGAAGTAATCTTCGATGGCATAAGAGAGATGCGAGAGGCCTTCACTGTTCACCTAAAACCTGATGAAAATATGATAGCAGAGACCCAGGTAAGGGTCAACATGTGTTTATAAATTAGTGACCAGTATTTTCTCAGAGCAAATACGTGTAGGAAACTACATACGGTAGGTACAATAAAGCTGTGAGAATTTGTACAAGCTTTATCTTTTTTTTTTTTGTACAAACTTTATACAAAAAGGCATTCATGGTCCTTGTCACCACTGAAGTAAATTTTGCTCTGATTAGAGTATTTCTGGGAATTCTTCTACTTCTTTGACAAGTTGCGTTTGCGGCCCACAGTGGTCCACTCCATTCCCCATGTCAGTGAGTAGACCTGAATTTGGGACTGAACTCCAGAGAGAAGGCATCTCTCAGCACGCAGAAGACATGTTAATCTAGCCCTATAAATCATTAAAACTAGCTTTTTCACTAAAAAATAGTTTGCCAGCTTTCAGAATTCCCAGCTATGCTTCCTAGTTAGATTAAAGTGGGACACCCAAAGGCTTATCCCCAAAATACAATAGTCCTAAAGTTGTTTTAATTGTTCAATTGATTTGTATTATATCAGCATCCAGTTTTTTTCTTCAAGATACACATAATCCACAGAATTTTGGCCTTTACACTGAAAGGAATTCTTTTAAGTTTTTAACTAATCCTAGAAAGGTCAAGTTACAATATCTATACTAATTTGATGTATCATGTTATTATTTGAGATTATTATTATTACTTAATAAAACACATTTCCCTAATTTGACCACATCTTAATGATTTTGGCTTCACACCACCAACACGGATTTATCTACCATCATCATAATTAGAGAAAAAGAGCATCGAATCCACTGTTTGACCAGCGATTGTGGGCCACTCGTCACCCTTTGCATTAGCTGCCCCAGGCTCAGGTGCCCTTCCCTGGAGCCATGAGACCTGAGCAAGATTCCAGCATCACCTGTCACTCTGAAGGGACAGCTGTGACCATTTTTATCACAAAGACTCTGTGGGCATCATTAATATTTTCCTGTACCAAAGAAACACTGGAAGTCTAACATTTAACTAATCAGTGGAGACCGCCTTTTTCTTTTAGGTTACCAAAGCCATTGTGTACATAGAAGAAATGAACAGCTTGGCAGATGTTACTTTCCCTTCTGTTCCTCAAATTATGTCTCTGCTGCTCTATGATGACACCTCCAGAGCGAAGGAGGGTGCCAGACCCATGTCGGGTTATCCCGTCATCTGCATTACGGTGAGCAGGAAATTAAAAAGATTGAAAGGAATTGTAAGATAGTGATTTAAAACAATTGTAAACTTTAATCATCAAGAAATATTATCATAAAGAAATAAATGGGACAGTTCTCTAAGGTTTAAGGTTTAAACTTTAAAAATGAAAAGAGAACATTAACTAAATGGGCTCCCACTTTTCTCTTTCACTTAAAAAAGGAAGGTGTTGGAAGCAAAGTCGGAGCCCAGTTTTTAACTAAAGTGTACATTGAGTGTGACCTAAGAGACTGTTGGTCAATAAAAAATAAAATAAATAAATAAATAAATAAGGCATGAGCTAAATAAGGCATTCCAAATATTTAAAAATAGGAAATAGGAAAACACAGGACTTGGTGGCTAAAAAAATAAAGGCAAGATGTGATCATCATTGTAAGAATGTTATAAATTAAGAACTAGAGCTGAGACGCTGTGTGTGTGTGAGGGAATGCTTGGAATGGCCAGGAGACTTTTCATAGTTTCACAGTAAGATCAGGAAAGGTCATTCCAAGAGCAAGTCACAGCAACATGCAGCAGTCAAAAAAGGGAGAGCAGAAGCAACAGTTTGTGATCGTTACTTTTATAATTGCCCTTTCTTGCTATAAATTATAAGCTCCTATAAGCAAAAGCTATGACTTACTGATTTTTATGTTACAATAGCTCTCCTGTAGCAACCTACCTATAATAATAGGCAAAAAATACTTAGTGAATTAACCAGGCATAAATACTAAGGTGGTGCCAAATCATGTAAATCCCTGAGCACTGTATTAAGGAACCTGAGCTTCACTTATTGGGCAGCCAGGAGCTCTTACACAGGAGAACGGCACGTTAGAAGGTTATGTCAAAGGGATAGTGGGAGGGCCGGCCAAACAGCTCAGTGGATTAAAGTGCCTGCAAGCAGGCACAGGGGCTGAGGATTTCATCTCTGGGCCTGCCATGCTGGTCCCACCCCCAGGGCTCACTGAGATGGCAGTTGAGACTGGGTGTAGCGACAAGCGCCTGCATTATCCCAGCTCTTGGGAGACTGTAAACAGGTGGAGTACTATGAGTCTGATCTAGTAGTGAGACCCTGAACACCCTGTAGACCCTTCCCTAAAGTACAAAAAAAGGGGGGGGGATGGGGGTTTAGTGGGGCAACTGTGTTTCACTTGGCTGGGAACAAAAAGGACATGAATCATCCGGGAAGGTGGTAATGGGAAATGATAGGAAAAGACCAACTGAAAAAATACTGCAAGTGGGCCAGGGAGACAGCTCAGCGGCCTAAGCGCCTGCCTGACAAGCACAAGGTCCCAAGTTCAGACCCCGGTACCAGAAAAAGAAAATGGAAACCATGCAAGAGAAGGACAGTCGAGTTCACCCACCACTAGACACGGAAAGAAGGAAGCACGCCACTACTGGTGGCTGGTTCACGCTCCTGCTGGCCCTGACCATGTGAACAGCCCCAAAGGAGCTGTGGACTGTGACACCCTCATTAGGGATGGAGAAAGGGAGAAGAGGGCAATGGAGGAAAGAAGAATAAGGATAATTCAGCGACTCTAGGGGTTCAAGACCCAATGCTGTGGTTAACAATTTTGCATTTATCTAGTGAAAGGTGGAAACATCCAATAAGCTGCTTGATATTCAAGTTTACAGTTCATTAAAGCTCTCATCAATGAGATTTGGAATTTGGAAATTTTATGAAAATATTAAGAGAAAGAACTTGAGAAGAACCACATCCATATTGTTCTGCCAAGCAATCCTGATATGGCTATTTGTTTTTCATAGGCATGCAACCCCAAATATTCCGACTATGACAAGACAGGCTCCATCTGTGCAAGCGAGAGCATCAATGACACTCTGACCCAGTACCGGTGGCTGATCAGTGCTCCTGCAAGCCCCGATGGCGTCACCAGCCCCATGAGAGAGGTGGACTTCGACACGTTTTTTACATCGTCCAAGATGATCACTTTAGACTCCATATACTTTCAGCCAGGCTCCCGGGTGCAGTGTGCGGCCCGTGCTGTAAACACCAATGGCGACGAAGGTCTCGAGCTGCTGAGCCCCATCATAACCATTGGCAGAGAGGAAGGTAAAGGCCCTGCATGGGCTCACTGAGACACAGAGGACGACCACAGATGCCTAACTTCAGGCTGTTCTTCCCAATACACCATGTGCCCCAAGCGCCGTAAAAAGGGAAGATCTACTTTTACTGAATATTCATAAGAGAAAAGTTGTTCATTTTATGCTTTATTAGCACCTCCTAGGTACCACGTTCAGCACTTTATACAACCAATATGAAGAGTAAGAGCAGACCCCTCCTCAAGGAGTCCTTAGGAAAGGTGATGCCTGACACACCTGAGCCTGGATAAGACGTGGGCACCAGTTAGTTCTGCCCTGGGTGGGCCAAGAGAGCTCATCACAGGGGTGATGCTCAGGTTCAATCTGGAAAACACAAACAGTGACCATCCAAAGCATGAAAGAACACAGAATGACAGAGATCTAGGAGCTCGTGAGAGGAAGATGAGGAGGGGTTGGAGACAAAGCAGGGTAGAGGGCTGGTGCTCCTGGTCTGAACAAAGCATGCTTGTGCCACGCAAGGAGCCCAGCTGGTGACTGCATGTGCAGAAGGTGGTGAGGGTGGGAGGGCAGGACAGTGCAGGTGGAATGGTATTGCGCTGCTCGTGAGGGAGGCTGCAGCCAAGGGCAAGTAGGGTAGGGAGCAGGATCTAGCTAGACACACTGTGGAAAGCCACAAAATCCTGTTTATTAATTGATTCTTCACTTACACAAGCATGGGGAGGGGATCTGCAAGTTGAACCTAGAGCCTCTTCAAGCCGCCAGGCCAGGGCTCCACCCTGCACCCATGTGCAGCCCAGAGTTGGGCTCCTTCAAAAGAGTATATGTGTGTGTGTTTATTTCTAGAGCTCCTCTTTGCAAACAGCATTCAGAATTACACTGAGGACTTGAGGTGTATGTCTAACATGCTAAGAGGTTATTAGAATGTGAGCTGTGATAACCCACTGCAGTGGTCCCCAGCTTCCTAAACCACTTTCTAAACCACAATATAGTCCACAGGGAATTTTAGAATATGTAAAACTATAATAGCACCAATTATTAACTGTTCTTCAGGTGCAAGGTGTCATCTGTTACCTTCTTTAGCTTAAAAGTGTCCATTTTCTTTGAGGTCTCTGCCAGCCCCGCATGCCTGGCGTAGTGGGTGCCGAACCATTCTCAGCTAAGTTACGCTACACCGGCCCCCAGGACCCAGATCACCCAAATCTCATCAAGCTCACAGTCACCATGCCACACATAGATGGTAAGTGGTGGGATTAAGCAAGTCCGTGGAAGACTATCGGATTCCTAAATTACAAAACTCAAGTAAGCGTTCAGATTCCAGCTGGAATGTCAAGTTTCTGTCCTTATTTCCTGTCTTCTTTCTATCCAGCTTTTGTCTGACCACACAAGCATTCCTTAAAATTAAGTAAATCTAACACATGCCCAGACTCGGTGAGACAAACCCTGGCGCCTGTGCTTCCCCGCAGGCATGCTTCCTGTCATCTCCACCAGAGAGCTGTCCAACTTTGAGCTGACCCTCAGCCCTGACGGCACGAGGGTGGGGAACCACAAGTGCTCTAACCTTCTGGATTACACAGAAGTGAGGACCCACCATGGCTTCTTGACTGACGCTACAAAAAACCCAGAAATGGTTGGCGAGTCGTATCCTTACCAGTACAGCGCGCCCCTCAGAGGCTCCAGCACTTTACGCTTCTACCGGAACCTGAACCTAGAGGCCTGTCTGTGGGAGTTTGTCAGCTACTACGACATGTCGGAGCTTCTCACAGACTGCGGAGGCACCATCGGGACCGATGGACAGGTATGGACGTTTAGCTACTCAGCTTCGGTCACTGCGTAAGCTGAGTGGTTTGCTCCATACCTCAGTCTTCTAGTAAATCTCCACTCAGATCTTAAGTACGTACGTCACTAGTCACAAGAGGGACCAGAAGGTTGCCATGGGTGTTAGATAACCTGTGCCAATTTCTGGAACAGTGTATGAGAACATGTGTCTTTTAAATAATGGGTCAGGCAGCACTCACTTTGAATCAGAAGAGCAGTGCACAATCATTGCCTGAGATTCTGAACCTACTCTGGCCTCTAACTCTCCAAATACTTACAATCTCCCAAGCATACATTATTACTCATTGTTTATATTCTTATGTACCAGTGACACTGTACCATACCACCTAAAGTGACATCTGACAGTGTCTCTCTGGGATTATAATGGAGAATCAAAGTATTTGGGGTATAGTTTAAAATGGTAATGAGTATTTGAACTCAAGCAATGGTTGATCTTATTTGGACTGAACAAAAAGTTATAAAAGTAGATTTATTTATTTATTTTTACATTTAGTACAGGGTCTATAGGGTTTCACTACACAGATCAGACTTGTAGTGATTCTCCTGTCTTCAGCCTCCCAAGCTCTGGGATTACGGGTGGCACCACCACACCTAGTCTCAGTCCCTGTCTCAGCATGCTCCAGGAGACGGAGCGGCATGGCATGCCAGGGATTGAACCCTGGTTCATGCATCTACCTACGCAGGCTCTTTAGTCCACTGAGCTATTTGGCTGGCCCAAAAAGTAGATTTATATATTGAAATGTTGAATGGTATGTAGAATATGCCATGTCTTTCAAAACTTAGCCAAGGTGACACTAAATTCCTAGTAGAATTGACAGTTCTTAATTTCCCTTAGGCTGTATCCTTAAGGTATTAAAAAAGGAGCAAGCACAGTAGCATCAGGGAAAGATGAAGGTAACTCACTCAGTTTAATCCCACAGCAAAGCTGTGGAGCTTGACAGCTACAAAGAGTGCTGACGCAGAATGAGCAGCTCTGTGTCTTGGCTGGGAACCCAGAAGTCATGGAGCATCTTCATGGCCTCCCCTAAAAGCAGCAGTAGTAAGTAACTGTCCTGAGTTAGTAGAAATATTTCTCAAATGAAACATCAACAGTGAAAACAGCATGGTATGGCAGAGAGAGTGCAGATACCAAAATCAAGTCAATCAGACTCCAGTTTCAAGAAATGCTCTGCTGTGTGTGCTCGGGCACATTGTTTATATCTCCGTAAAGGCAGCTTTTCAGGTCCTTCCTCCCCAACCTGTCCTTACATTGGAGTTCAATATAAACACTGTGCAAACAATTTTCATTAACCTCTAACTGCCTTTGTCAAAAGAAAAAAAAATGAGTTTTTCTTTATGTCTTCTTAGTAGCTAGAGCTACCAAGTCCTACGTTCTATGTGTGTGATTGAAAATCTCTTTTTGACACACTCCAGCCAGGTGTTCTGCTGTCCCAGACTGCCCAGTGCCAGGGATTCAGTATATAGGACAAGATAGGACAAGCTGTCAAGGTGGAGGTATCAGCTAAAATATCCAGCATAGCTTTCTTTTAGCAACAATGAGGTTTCATGCAGTTTGCCTATAGCTATATTTGACTGACACCAATAAATGTTTCAGCTATCTTATTCATTCACTATAGAAATGATCAATAGTCAGTAAGGAGTGGGGATATAGATCAGTGGCACATGGCTTGCCTAACAAGTGTGAGGTCATGAGTTCAATTTCCAGTACCAAAAAAAGAAAAAAAACAAAAAAAAGAAGAAGTAGTCAATAAACTACTAAAAAGGAAACATTTGAAGCCATAGGCACAGAGATCTCCTGAGCGGGACCCCACTAGCAAAGGAAATCATAGTAAGATCAACAAACAAACTATATTAAATTAAAAATGTTCTGCACAACAAAGGGAACAATTTAATGAGAAAACACACAGAATGGGCGAAAATCTTTGCTAGCTACTCTTCTGACAGAGGGTTAATATCTACATGATATAAAAAATTCAAGAAATCAACTTAACAAATCAGTAAAAAGGTAAATGAATTGAGTAGATACCTCTCAAAAGAAGAAGTAGAAATAGCCAATAAGTTTATGGGGAAAAAATAGCTGAAAAAGTTGTAAACTATTAAGAAAATGCAAATTAAAACAGCGGGGAGAGTCTGTCTCTCCCAGGTGGGAAGACCAGGAGCACAGGGCCAGGAGGGGAGGGGAGCAAGCCTGCTGTGCCATCCTTGGGCACATAAGCTAGCAGGCCACTACAGAAATCACTGAGAATGTTCCTCAGAAACTAAATACAAAGTCCAGCTGTGTCACCAGTAAGAGTCCCAAGAGAAAACAGATGAAAATCCTCTCATATGCACGAGAGCAAGGATTGTTTTAAAAATAGCCCTAGAGACATCAGAGCAGCAACTGACATGTCATGACAAGCAGCCCATATTCAGAAGACCAGAAGGACAGGCACTCCAAGCATGAACCTACTATTATATATTGCCATCTTCAGTGCAGTTGCTTAGTTCACAGGTGTCTGTATATATAATTAGTCAAGGTGAGAATCTTTCCAATTTACTGCTAGATTAAAAAATCTAAAGATTCTCAAGATCAATTCCTTGCCCATCTTCTACATATAATTGTATGGCTTGACTTGCTCATGTTTCCTAGCTCTTCTCTTTTCCCTCTTTTGGTTAGTTGGTCCTTGAGATCCTGCTTTCCTTTTACTTTTATTATACCTTTCTATTTGTATTTCTTCTTTTGAGTTCTTATACAAGGGAGACTATACGATATTTACACATGTGTGTTTGGTTTATTTCACTTATGAGTATATGCTCAAGTGGCATCCACTTCAATATAAAGGCTTTGAGTTTATCATTCTTAATAGCTGAATAATACTCCATTGTGTAAAAATACCA